CCTAAACCCCTAAACCCTATATGAACTTGAAAGCGGCTTCGAGGTGGTGGCTCGGCCGGTGTGGCTGGAGGCACACCGCGTCGACCCAAAGGGTCATGGGTTGAGGGGCCTAGGGTCGAAGGTTTCCGGGCTTAGGGTTTAGGGTTGTTGGGACTAAGATTATGGGTTTAGGGTTTAGTAAGTAACTGCTAAGTTTTGCCAGCTAGCTGCTTCCAGTTTCTACTCAAGAAAGCTGTATTCTGAAGCACCTGAAATTGCGAATTCGGAGTCTTCATAGTTTCAGGTCTGTCCATGCGGATCGTGCCCTGTGGTTCGCACGTCACCCTCAAGCCCGAACTCAATGGAGTTGAGCATTGTCTGTATGAAGAGAGGGCTTGCAACACAGGGAAGAACTCTAACCTCCAACTTCTAATTATCAAAACCAAGAACCATGTAACCTTAACTTATCTCAAACCCAAATACCTAAGCCAGTAAGCCTTGGAAGCCTTAGCCCCTCAATACCTAGCCATCAATGTGTTAAAGGAGCTGTGTGTAGTCATGAGGCAGTCGAAGATTAAAATTAACACACCACCAGACCCGAAGCAGAAACTAGGGCATTGGGTTCATCAAAAAGCTGTACCTCGACCTGCTATGACACGCAAGCTGGCCAAGCCGCGCCCACAGCCCTTTTGAGATTCTGCCCCTAGCCCTGCCTTAGGGGTTTTCGGGTTCAAGTTTGGGGTTGGGTGTTTTTGGTACCAGCCCCGAAACCGTAAAGCCCGAGTAAAGTCCCAAACCCATCACAGGCACTTTGATCCGAATTCTTAAAACTGCCCCTTTCGCAGGAAGGCGAGCGTCGGGCCGCGGCTTGGATGTATCGAAACCTGTCGCACGTCAGGCTTTTAGGCCCAGGCGGCTTGTGGATGGAAGTTGAGGGCCTGGGCATCCCGGTAGCTATCAGTATCCTCTTTCGGCTTCTGCTCCCACTCTCACTACTACCACCACAACAACCACCACCACGACAAGTGGATCCTGCTAACAAACCCGAGTAGAAGTCAGAGCTGCAGGATAGGATATTGGTAACAAAGCGCACGATTATTGGGCTCTGGAGCCCCACCAAGGTTCGGAGAGCTTCCTAACACCTGCCTTGCGGGGCTTGCATGCTTAGGGCTTTACTGGAACGTAAACTTCAAGACCCGGCAGCTTCAAGAAGACACTAGCTTTTGAGTCTTGCCAGCTTTGATTGTCGTTCCCAATGCATACCCCACAAAGCACACTTCTCGAATGGCTTGCCCAAAAAAAGGGGCTTCACTGGTTCAGGGCCGGCTCGAAGCAAAGAACGTGCTCCAGATCGCAAAACCCCAAGGCCTGAACTTGAGCTCAGGCCTTGGTTCCAAACCTCGATGCCTTTCAGGCAAGTTGTATTCGGCCCGACACTCATGTGCGGCACCAGGGGAGCGGGTTTAGGGCTTATTGGGCTTCGGATGTATAGGCCTTAGAGGCTTCGGGATTCTAGGGCATCCCCAGGAAGTCTGCTACGACGCACAAGCCTTACGGGATTGGAGGCTTAAGGCTGTCATGTTTGAGCTTGGGAGGTTCAATGCTTAGGGCTTTTGCCTTCGAGGTTGGGAGAGGGGTGGCTTATCATTGTACAGTTGAGGCTGGAGTGGCTTGGGGCTTCTTCGGGCTTCAGAAACCCATGCTCTGTTAGAAAGAAGCTGGAACATGCAATCGACACCGATTTCTTGGATCACTAGATTCAGTGGGTGCCGCTCCGAGTGAGAGGAGCCTTTATACTCGGCTCCTGCTAGATTGCAAAACATTTGTGCCGGTCAGGGGGGGTTATCCTGGTTTCGGGGGGATTTAGTAGGCGAGTTCCGAGTTTCTTGGCCCGAGACCCAGGCCCTAGAGAACCTCGCCGGTCTCAGGGCCCTTTAGCCCAAGTCAGGACTCGGGATTTTGGGATTGGCGATCTCGGGCTTACCTGCCTTGGGCTCAGGTTTGGGTCTTCGCCGGGTTAAGGGTTTGAATCCTCTGAGATACGCCGACCTCGCCGACTGGCTCCTCGACCAAGTGGACAGCCACCCGACCAGCTCAGGGTGTTTTGCCGCAGTTGGGCTGCTGGGCTTCAGGATCTGGGAATGACGGCTTTGCGGGTGAGGGAGTCCTCTAGGCACAGACGAAGCCTTCCTGTTGCTTCGAGTTTCTCACAATACAACCCAGGAACCTGGACAAGTTTCACGATATCAGCATGTGATATTTTGGTGGGGCCAGCCCATATAGTTGCCATGCCTACTTGCAGTCTACAGTCTCGGTGACACCGAGATAAGTGTACCTGATAATGACAGTTGACCTAGTCTGAATGAATCGCCAGACCCCTCAACACCCCAAAGTGGTGCTTCGTGTTGCGAGCTATCCACTTGAAGGCTCATGGCTAGTTCGTCAGTAGGGTTAGCAGTACCTGGAACCTACAAGCACTTGTAGCCTGCTAGACTTATGTCCACGGCTCCTGATAGCACCGTGAGCCCTTACCTTCCAATCGTAAATAACAGAGCCTTCACACATCCTTCATGGAATCCTCACAGAACCTTTTACAGACCCTGCGCAGAACCGTTTTTTAAAGCCATATAGAACCCTGCAGAATGCCCTGAGACCCTCTGTCCTAAGCCACAACACCGAAATCCCAGCCGAACCCCATCAGAGAGCCCCTTTTAAGGCGATGCCTACGTTGGGAAGATGCCTCGCCTGCAATACGGCCCCGTGCAGCCCCTTTTCGGCAAAAGCGTTTTCAGGGTTTTCGGCGCCGCATGTTGGGAATCCTTGGTTGTGTTGTGTTTAGGGCTCCTTTGGGGCTTTGGTATCGCAGCCTCTTGCAGCAGGAGATGAATGGCTTGAAGGTTTGGTTTGGGCGGTTTTTGACTTTCAGGGTTTGGGGACCCTAAACCCTAAACCCTTTGGCTTTGTTTGGATCAGGGCACAGGTCTTTCGCTTCATCGTTTTCGGCCATCTGGGCGTTTCCGAAAATAAGGGGTACCTTATACTGGGGGTCCTTATAATAATAAGGATCCTAGTATTTAGGGTACTATCTTTGGGTCCCCTATTTTCGGAAACCCCCATCTGAACCTTGAGCTCCCAAGGCTTCGGAAGCTCCGGGGTTTGGGGGGCTTAGGTTCGGAAGCTCCAGGAGGCTTCGTTAGGGTTTAGGGGTTTAGGGTTTAGGGGTTTAGGGTTTAGGGTTTAGGGGTTTAGGGTTTAGGGTTTAGGGGTTTAGGGTTTATTCCTGACCGGCTGCTCTGGATCCCGTGAGGCCCACCCAGGGGGTGACAAAGGAGCATGAAAGGATTACTGAGCTTCCGTTGCTGTGCCGAGTCAAGTAGGCCCTAGGCTTCAAGCCAGTTGAAAAGCACAGAG